CATTAGAAGGGGCTTACTTATCAGGCGAATTTATGGCATTTCGTTCAATTTACGAGCCGGATTAAGTCCAAACGCCAACGTTTGCTCTGGGCCACAAGACCATTTAGCCGGCGAAATCTGCTCCGCTTCAGAATGCAAGTCCCAAGCCCGTTACAATATTAATTACCCGCCATTAGCAGCATCACTCAACTGCGAGCCAGCACATATGTATGCAGCTGAAGGGAGAAAAGTCGAAACTATCTGTAAAGTCATACGTCAATGCCGCTAAATCCACTTGTCAGGAGGAACAAACGTGAGAATCGTTTGAAAGAAAAAGATGGGGAAACTTTGACTGAAACTGAAACAAAAACCGAACAAAAGCAAACGGCAAATGGATCGGGCAGCGAGGAAATATTGTCAGGCAACACTTTTAACCCCGTAGGGGTATCTCCATCTACATCTGCATCAGTGCATCTGTGCATCTGTATCTGTATCTGCAGCTTGCACTCTAGCTTTTGCCGCTTTTCCCGGAGATTTGTGGCCGGGACACCTGCAACATTTGAGGGCCGTTTGTCGTTGCGGCAGTAAAAGACTTTTTTATGCTAAATACCGCCGCCGTTTATATTGATGACGTTCCAAAACACAATGTGATTGTGATGTACCCCAAGATGCACCCATTTATCTCTATATATGTATATACATATATATACGTGTGCTAAGTATATCTCACTCTCCCAGTGAAACAACAAAATGTGTGACAAAACAGCAGAAGGAATTTTAATCCCAAAATGATTGATAATCATTTGCACGGGCGGAGTTGAAAAGAGAAAAAGCTCTAACACGTTCCATTTGCCTAGGTGTAAAGTCCATGGGGCATTATCAGCACCACCGCCCAACATCGTCTTCATCAGCATCATCTTCATCAGCATCTCCGGCACAATCATCATCATCTTCATCGTCATCATCTCGTCTGGGCTTTGTTTGCTGCTAATGTTTGCACTTAATTCACCAGACAATGCGATACGGGAGTGGCGGAGGGAAAAGCATTTTCTTTTGGCTTTTACTCGGGGAGAGCGGGGTAGGGGAGGTGAGTGAGGGGCCAGAGGGATTGTGCCTGCCAGGGCGAAAAGTCTAAATTATGTCGTTGCCGCCTGACTGTTGCATAGGAAAATGCATCATTTTGTAAGCTTAAGAAAAGACGCTGCGCTTTTTGTGAATGGGCAACGGAAGCACTGGAAAAAATTAATGCTCCAGGGAGAATGGATGATCTTAGCTGTTTTTCTATTTTAATATTAAACACAAAACATTTAAGAATATTAATTTATAATTGTACTTAAAATCACAGACTATGTTTGAACAGTTTAAAAATTGAATGCTAAATTAATGAGCTCTAAAATTGAAAACTTTTTATTCATATAAAAAAAGTGTAATATATATTTTAAGAACACTTTCTGAAATATAAATGTTTGCGTTTATCTACCATTCCATTATCAAAAGTTCAGTAACTTTAAGCTACTTTGTTGAACTCTGAAATATTAAACATTAAATTTATACTCCAAAATGTTTTCTTAAATTTTAAATAGATTTTAAGAATACTTTTTCGAATATTAGTGTTACAAAATAGAGTTTATCTACCCTCTATTAACAATTTTCCTCTTTTTATAGTTGACAAATTCAGTAAGCAAAACACTTACCATCCCATGTTGCAAACTTGACTGATTACTAAGCCAGACTCAAGTTACCAGACCGTTTGCTTAAATTTTACCATCTAGCAGCTGCTTCATTTCCATACGAAGTCTTTTGTTCGTGGCTGACACCTTTTACGGCAACCGGATAATTTCCAACACCTCAAACTATTTAACCTGTTACAAATTTTCCCCTGTTCTTTTCGACTTGACGATGAGTTGAAAATGTGACAAAAGCTGATTTAAGTCATAATTTATCATGATATGCTGGATTAGGGCGATGAATTTAACAAACGTACGTTTATTTTTAACACGTTGCGACATTGACAATGCCAGCAGGTTGAGGCGAACTGTCTGGCTAATGTGAAAATTTATTGACTATCAAATGGTGGCTGCATTGTGTGCGTCGTGCCTACTGCATTAGTTTGTGCCACTTTCGAAGACATAACCGGCTGAAAGGAGGGATTATGACACCGCTGCGGGGATACTCTTTGGGAAATTAAATGTTATAGGCTCCAGAAATATATATACATTATGCATGAATATCTTTTGGCCGCCGGGGGAACTCTCTTTTCCGCTTTAAGCCAACAAAAAATATAAAAACAGGACGTTCTGGCCCACAGCACGCCTTTCAGTCAAATCAGCCACGCCCAAAAAAAGCAACAAAGTTGGCTGCGGCTTAAGTGTTTGTAATTGTTATGGCTGCAAACTCGTTCTTTCACTTTGGCCTGCAAGCGCGAACTTTATGGCTACACCTACCCGGCCAGAAATGCAGCCAGAAAGCCATCCGGAAAGCAACGGCAGATGATGATCATCTCTCCAATATCGCGTTCTAGCGGTAAATAAAGTTTTGGCCAACCAGCCGCGCCCACAAAGGAGAGACCACCTAATGAAAAGTGGCCAAGTGCCCCTTAGTCCGCGTTTTTTGGGTGCAGTGTACAAGCACAAGTACAAGTTCGATATTAAGAAATTACAAACTTGCCCCACGCATTATGCGGAAATTAATTTGCGCGTCCGGCAAATTTAATTCAATTTTTTTAACAGCTCTCGGATAGCACGCCCCGAAACGAAAGTTGACCCACTCGAGCAAGATTCCGCGGGATTGGAATTAAGACATAATAAAGCTGTCCCTCGGTGGAGGCCCTTTTCTGGCCCATCCGTCAAGATTGCTCCTCTGGCAGTGCGGGGCGTGTAATTCACTCCAAACGGCGAACACCTTGACGAGAACCAAGACGTTTCTGGCTTAAACTCGGCTTTTGGGGGGCAATTTTGGGCAACAAAGAGGTCGAAGCGCTCGCGGCCCGCAGAATATCTGGGCTATGGATGTGGTGCCTGCTTGACAAACGAGTGTCATTTATCAAAATGTGACACTATTTGCGCCAAGTCATGTGTTAACTGCACTTTATTTTATTGTTATACCCCGTGTGGGTTGTTTTGGCCTGGCTCACAGGCTCTTTCTCACTTTCAGACTGCCTTCTTCGCTCGCCTCCTCGAGTGCTCTCATAAAATATATATATCATAATTGGGGGTTATGTTTTAGCTGTTGTTGCTGTTTTCGTTTCGCTTTTTTTTTGGGAATAAGCCAACAAGTATAGCAATCGGGATGAGAAATGGCCAGATTGAGATATGACCGTGTGAGGGAGAAAAATGCTTACTGCCCACCCGTGGGCCATGTTCATCTTCTCTGATTCCAAAACCGATTGCGGATGAGGGATTTTCTTGAATTTTACATATCTTTGATTTCCGAACTTTTATGAAACTGTTTTCAAATTTTAATGATTACAGTCTGCAAAGAGAAAATTTTGGCTCTTGACTTCAATGACCCAAGAAACGTTTACGGGTATAAACATTAATTGAGGAATTTTCGGGATAAAAATGCCCGGCATAAAAGAAGTAATTTTTTCCTTTCCAATTTGTGTTTTTTGGGCGCGACCGGCATTTAATGCCAATACTATAAATATTATGATTATGTGGCCCGTACAAGCGAGCAGTTATACATTTTGCGCGTCCGCGGCTCTTAAATGTTGTTTTTACCAAAAAATAAACATAAACGCAGCGGAAAGAGAGGTTAAAAGGCAAAAACCAAAGAAAGCCCAAAACCAAAGACCGAAAAGTAATTTCTTGCACGACATTAATTTCTTTTAAATTACGCATAATTGAAGTACGGCCACTCGAAATTGATCGATGGCCAAATCGAGTCCGGGGAGTACTCCAAACGGGTTTTCCCGCCAAATGTGTCTGCTGAGGTGCGGTGCACAGCCCCGCCCCCTCGTCCGCCGCCTCCTCCTCGTTGATCGGAGAGAAATTACAAAAACTCTGCCTCTCCATAATGATATAATTTTTGTTTTTGGTTTATTTTTCCATGTGAGGCCAAGTTCTTGGGACAAGCAAAGGCGACATTGACATTCGAATTGGACACCTGACAGCAGAATATCAAAGTCACTCTGGGATTTTGCCGTAATTCGACGACTTCTTCTATTCCCCATTGAAGCCTTGGCTCTATTTGAAATTTGATTTAATTTTGATTCACTCTTTTTGTGATTCGTGGGCTGACCTGTCAGTCAGTATGAAATTCCATATTGTTGTCGCCGGGGTCTCAGAGGTATTTAGTTTTATATTTGGGCCTGCTTTAGGGGCTTTGTTAGCGCGATAAGCGGATTTTTTATTACATCAGTTTAGTGTCACATTAGCGCTGTGCCATGCATTTGCTGGAATCTTTGTGGGGGCGACACATTTGTAGATCGGAGCCAGGCTTTTGTGTATTTATTTTATAGCCACAACTTACGGCGATCAACAAGTTCTTCCGCCATTCCAATCTCAATCTGCATCGGGATCTGGGCCCTGCCTGCAGCTCTTTGCCACACGTACGAAGACGCATTCACATCCAGGCAAAAAGGCAATAAGGCAAGACCAAGTCCAATCACATAAAATCTTTCAGCGAAACACAGGGACTTATGAATTTCTTAATTTCTGCAAAACTCACTCGCAGCGAGGAGTGTTGCCTCGGTCTTTTTTATGGCATTTCGTTTTGCCGCGATGCTATCAGTTTGGTTTTTGTTTCTGGTTTTGGTCTTTAAACTGTCTCGAATCCAGTGGTCGGTGGGTCGATTCACCGCATGAATCATAAGCCAGTTAAAACCGAATTCCTAAATGTTCGCTTACGTTACTTACTCTGCAGGTCAACGTATTTGGCACTTGTAACCTAGATTTGTTCCTCGAAAACAATAATTATCAGCTCGTGAAATCGGTTGTAAATTGTAAATTAAATGGCCTTAACAAAGAATACATTTATTGCGTTTTTTGAAAATGAATTTACACAGTGGCTTTGCCGGAGATTTCAAATTTTGAGAAGACGTTAAAATGGTCAGACTAGAAGGTTGTTGCTATTTTTTTGGGCTTCGCTATGGATGTATTATAGGAGGTCTATGGCTGATCCTATATTATGCACTCTTGACATACCTGATGTTTTACGAGATGAAGTACTCTCGCCAGGCCAAATTAGACTTAAAATCTTACGACCATGAAAAGGAGACACATGGTTTTTGGGTGCTGGGAACTACATTTTTCTTAATGGATCTAATATCTCTGTTTTTGGTGATTGGAGCTATTGTGGTATTTATGTTTTACTCTTACTTAAAAGTTCGTAAGACACTCTAAAATATTATTTGCAGAAACGCTCTGTGATTGTTTTTATATTTCTGCTAGGACAAATTGTTCCCATGTCAGTTGAATGCTTTTATTTGTTGATAGCCATCATTTATGGCATTACAACCGAATGTTGTGTAATATATCTTGTGCCCTTATGTAAGTACATTATAATTTCGTAATGTTTACCATTTAATCATCTAGTTATTTTCAGTAATTTTGGTCTACATTGATCTATTGGCTTATGCTTATTGGTATGAATTAAAAAGTCTTAAGAAACTGAAAGCTGTGTCAGAACTTCAGATCGACTATTGAAATTACTTTAAAATAAGAACGTTAAATTAAGAAACTGTCTTATACAGTATTTCAAGACTTTAGATCACAAGCCACGTTTTCCGGTAGAACACACAAAAGACAGCGATAAGGTTGGATGACTTGAGAGCAGGAAAACATGTCAAGAAACAAAAACAAAAATGATTTATCATAATGGGAGTTGGAGTCTGAGTCGGGGCCCAATTCGGAATTGGAATCGGAGTTGGAGTTGGGGTTTGAGTTGAAGTTGAAGCTGAAGCTGAGATCTGAGTCTGGGTCTGAACTCACAGCGACGTTGCCTAAACGGGCGATAACGGCCAAGTCGAAGACGGCATGCGGCTGCTGATGGCGACGAACGAGGAGATATCGGGCCCAGAACGGTGCGTCTGGATGTCAACTCTTCATATAAAAATTAACGAAATATAAATTAAAAAATATGCTCTACCTCTCCTCGGCTGGGCGATGAAATAAAAACCAGAAATATTCGTTTCGGCTGCGTTCGTTCTGTGTGCGCTTTTGGTTTTGTTCTCTTTACCGACTGGCAATTTACGAGTATGTCCCTTCTGGTCTCAAGTTACGCCTGCGCGACATTGTTGCGGGCACACAGAAAGAAAAACTTACGAAGATGATTAGTTAATCAATTTAAAGTTACATAAATAAGAGTAAAAATTTCATTGGTTTGTTAATTTAAATCAATTTTAAAATAAATCTTGCTAAATACTTGTATAGTCTTCATTGATTGTCTTATTTTGATTTTAACGTAATTAAAATATTGTTCTGAAGTATAAAATTTAAATATTTTTAAGGCCCCACAAGCCTTATAAAATGACTTAAATAAAAAGTAATAAATGGTTAAATATAAAAAATATACTCACTGAAAGCTTGTATTCATAAATTTATAATTGTCAAACAGAAAACAAATATTTTTTACAGATGATCCTGGTATAGCAAGCAATTGTAATTTATAAATAATTTTCGACCCAAATTTTTCTCTGTGTATGCCCCAAAAACCGACTTGGAGAATTATGAATTGGCCGCTGTCTGACGCCTTATCGGTGGAATGCATCGCTGCGTTTAAGGCTTTATCTATGGGCCAGTGAATTTTTATCTAATGGAGGCAGCTTCTACCCATTGATTGGGGTCCCGTTTGGGGCTCCGATTTCATTTCTGACTTATGACAGGGTCGTATCTGGGCAGCCTTGCGCTCTGATAGCTTCATAAGCCAACGATAAGACCCAATCCCAATCCGAATTCGAGTCCCAATCGAAAGACGCTAATTGCTGGCAAAACTCCAGGCGCCAGCGAAATCAAGGGATTCGATTGGCGGGGAGTGGCTCTGACAGATCTCAGGTGCCGTATCACCTGCGTGTTATCGCCAGACAAATGCATTTTGCAAATTATTAACATATGTGGCGGCTGTTACACGACGCGATCGGGCGCGAAACACCGACCGGCAGCATGTGCAGATACAGATACATTTGTATCTGACGCCAGTGGGTTGGAAGTCGGCTCGGGACTTCGCCGTGGCTGTGGCTAATTGATGTCGGTGCACAAAACTTGATTTATTTCTATTAATAAAGGCCCCATGAAAATGGTAGTCGGTTCGGTCAGATGGCGATACATTTTCGGCTGCCTTATTTGGTTGTGGCTGCGGTGCCCGGTAGAGAATTGGGAATGCCCCATTGCACACAATAATACGAAAATACGAAATTGTATTCTACAGCAATGATAGAGGATTGCCAATTTGCAATCGGGGCCAATAAATTGCTTGTTTAGCCACAATTACACACGTGAACAACCGCCGAAAATGGCCAGCGTATGCAACAGCATCAGAAATAATCTGGCCAAACTTGTTACCGCCGTTGTCGATAGGAATCGAATAAAAACTCGGTTGCATAAATTTTAACACCGATTTTAATCGACGCATTGTGTAGTGGATAGCGGGTACAGAGCTTAGACAACTCATTGAGTCCCGCCGATATTCCGACCAACTCCGACACTTTATGGTCAGTCTTTTGGTGGTAATTACCAGCCGGCAGCAGTTCCGGTGCTTCGGTGTCTGTGTGTTCGCGGCTCGGCAATGCAAACTATAATTATGTTATAAATTATTGATATGTCAAATCAAATTCTCGACCAGTTTTCTGTTGGACTGGAGTTGAGCTCAAGATTTATTAACTGCAATTTGAGTTGGTGGGAGAGATTGCGAAATTGGGTAGGCGGTGAATGAGAGTTTCTAAAGTTTATAAAAATATTTTAAGTAACATGTATTTTTGGGAATGTCGATATTATAAATAACTGGCAACCTACAAGAACATTATAAACACGTTTTATTTATTTATTTGTTATTGTGAAAGCTCTCTTTTATTTCACTCGCAAAAAAATAAAAATATAATTTTGTATAAGTGGAAATGGTTGGTATATTAATATTTTTGGTAAATGTATAAGAATCAGCTCACATTCTCATTCGCTTTTATAAGTTTATTGTTTTAAGAGTGGACTGTATTTTCTTGATTTAATTTTTGCTTTAACATTTATTTTCCTTCTACAATATATTTTTAGCAACAAATGTTTCTAAAAAATTATATGCTGTTTGTATCTTTTGTTAATTATATTTATTACCGAAGACATTTTAAATAATTTTGTACAGTAAAAAAGAACAGTGTTTTATAATAAAGGATTCAAACTATTTATTAAGTTATTAGATTGCTTATAAATTGTCAGTAATTGCCAAAACTTTTCCAGTGAACCTCGTGTGCAGACTTAAATATTGTTATATGAGGAAAGACTTGGTCCAGCGAGACAGATTACGAGCACGGTGTCTGCAGCCGGCGGACATGGACAACACTTTGCTCTACAAGGCGTTGCGGGAAATACGCAGCGCTTTTCCCTGTTTTCCCAGCTTGCAATTTTCCGTTGGGTTACCTCATGTTTTGCCCGGGCTCTGGCTGCTTTTATTTCTCTCCTGACATAACTGGAGCGATTTGGCCCAAAAGCAAGGCTTTTCAGCCGGCGTATGCAAAGCGGCCGCCTCAACCTGATTTGGCAGCCCGTCGACCCCACTTGGGCGCTCTGTCTAACAAAATGCTCGGCCGCTTGTCTCGGCCATTTGCATTTCGATCTCTGGCTGCGGCGGCGGCTAACTGGCTAACTGGCTAACTGGTCGACCGACCAACAAATCCTATCGTAATAAAAGTTTTCGGCACAAAATTACAAGATCCGCGTGGCGGGGGAGGACATGTGGATGGGGACTTGGACATGGGCTGTGTGTGTACCAGAAGGCAGTGCCTGCCCAGGTCCGCATTCATTCGCAGCAGTTGAACCACATTAGACTTTCACTTTTCGGCCGCACAAATGGCCATTTGGGCATTTTAGCCGGCCGACTGCGCTTTAAATTTATGTTGATTGGCCGAGCTGAGCTGAGCTGGCTTTTCGGTTAAATGTTGTTAAATTGTTTTCCGTCGAAATGACATGTTTTGACAAATGGCGTGGTTTCCCCTAAATGCATTAGGCACATCGGCATACTTGTTGGCTTGTCAATGCAGTTCTTATTGAGATTGTTTAACCCAGCCTGTTTCGTGGAACATAGCATAATAAATCCAGGGATTAAGTTTTCGGTTTTTTATGCATCCCCTCTGGTCATAAAACATCGAGTCCTTTGACAATGCCGAACGAGAACAGCCCACAAATAAATACTAATAAACCAGGGAAGCAGGACACGAGAGTTTGGTGATTGGCCTGTTAGGCCATCCTTCCTTTCGCGTACTACATAAATTTTAATATTTATGGCGAGCAGCAACACATGGCCAGGATAAACATTCAGCAGACCCTGGAGAGGGAAAAAAAACTGGAAAAAATAGAGCCAAACGGCAGTCCGGAATTGCGGATTTGTGGGCGTTTGACAAGAAGCCAGTTGTTTCTGGGCGTAACCCAAATAGAGGCGTTGACGCCCGGTGACCGTTTACACCCATCCCGCCGAACATACGACTCTGGATTCCGGCTAACTAACGGCCGGCCCAAAAGGGATCCGATCGGATTGGATTGGATTGGATCTGCCGGCGGGACTGAGAACCAGAGCATTGCGCAAAAGGACGGCGGGAATCGTCGTAAATCTGTGCGACATAAATTCAGTGCAGTTTTTGACATTTCGGCCTGCCTTTGGAAACCCGGCTGGGTACCTGGCGCACCTGACACAAATTTTCCCGGCTCCCGGTTTTTCTCCGCTCCGCTAATCTTGGTAAACAAATCACTGACGTCCTGCCATCATGTCCTTGGGGACGTGTTGGTTTAATTGCTGCCAGACGTCGCAATTTATGAGCATCAATAAAGTGTCAACTTTTGTGCGAGCGTGAGTTCTGCCCGACCAAAGCGAAAAACGGGCTGAATAAATGCGCTTCTGGTTGTAAATCATCTCGGCGCGGCTTTCCAGGAAACTAGTCCCTCGCTCTGGGACTCCGACTGCGACTCCGGCTCTTCGTTTTCCCGTCCCGCTGATTCTTAACTTGGCCGAAACACGCTAGCCGGGCCAAGAGCTGAGAGGCAGCAGCATTGCAGCCAGGAGATGGGCGAGTTTTGGCATTTGCATTTCAATTGAAGCGAGTAATTAATGAATCGCATATCTGTAGAATTTTAATTGCCAAGTCAATGCACTCGCCCAGAGCGAGATCAGATGCATCTGGAAGCAAATACACTGGCCAACAGCCGAACACGAAATTCGGTTTCGGGCCAATGCCACTTTTTACACAGAACAATTACTTTGTGTACTTTGGCCATGCCTTACGAAAAGTTAATAGTTTAAAATAATTTTTGAGTCTTGTCTTAAGGACTTGTAATTTTAGTACATTTATGTTTTAAAGATTCTTATGGCTTATTGCTGTTTCAGAATAATTAACTTTGTGTTGGAGATTATTTAAATTTTTAAAGTATTTTTCTAAATTGCGAATTGGTGTTTCTGAATCATTTGACTTTATATCAGCTTTCAGTGTCAGTTCACAATAAAAAAAATATATATAAAAATATATTTAAAATATTACATAAAATATTACATAAAATATTATATAAATATATAGTACATTTTGCTCTGTGCACTTGGTACTGTGGTGCAGAAATGCCGGGGCTGTAAGAGTCGCGCGTGTGGCCCCGTCACGTACCGCTTTGCTAAGCCTCACAATGCCAGCTGCCGCACAGAAGACTCTCGACAATTAAAATATGAAAGGGTTTCTCCTACAGCGCCAGAGTCAGAGCCAGAGCCAGAGCCATTCTTGTCCGGTAATCGAACAAAACCGCAGAACAACCCAGTCGACGGACCTCGTCGAACTGGCCAAAATCCTCATCATAAATATCATGGTTAAAGCCCCTCGATTCCAGAGCTGCGGCATTGCATACAGCGTATAGTATTTGTGGAAACCGAGGGTGGGGGGAAATGGGAGGAATTGGAAAACAAACGCTGCACGTGATGATTGCATCATTGTGTCAGCTTAGTACGTGCTCTGCTACGGGCTTGTCATATAAAAAATGACACACAATTCCCGGCATTCCATGCAGTCACTGTGTTCCATGAAGTTTGTCCAACCGAAAACCCATCTCCATATCCATCTCCCCACTGCGCATTAAAATT